ATGGAGAAGGAGCTGAAGAAGACAAATCCAAACTGAAAGAGGAAACACTATGAGAAACAAAACGGGGACAGTGATCGGAAAAAGAAACAGCTCCCACCTGAGAGAATTCAATCGCCGCTCCCACCTGAGAGAATTGTGATAGTTAGTACCCATGTGATATACAATCATAACTATTTAATTGTGTAGATCAATTACTTATATTAATCAATTGAAATTTAAATTTGTTATATAATAAAATTAATAATTATTATTTTTAAATCAATTACATAAAATCCCCATTTAATTTTATATTTTCGATGAAAATTTAGTTCATACATGAAGTATATTTGTTATTTAAATAAAATATATACGTGATGCATATATAGTTCATCATAATGCATATTTAGTTCATGCAAAATGCATATTTAGTTCATCCATAGTGCACATTTGTTATACTTAGATTAAAAATATACATTATGCATATTTAGTTCATTGATGATGCATATTTAGTTCATTGATGATTCATATGGAGTTAATACAAGAAGGATATTTGTTATATTTAATTAAATATATTTGATGCATATTAGTTCATTCATGATAGATATTTAGTTAATAGGAAATGCATATTTAGTTAATCAATAGTGCATATTTTTTATATTTAATTTATACATAATGATGAATATTTAGTTAATTCATAATGCATATTTAGTTTATCATGGTGCATATTTGTTATTTAAATTAAATATATAATTATGCAATTTAGTTTCTCATAGTGCATGTTTGTTACATTTAAATTAAATATATAATAATGCGTATTTAATTTATTCATGATGCATCTTTAGTTCATATATGATGCATATTTACTTTACACATAACGTATACTAAACTCAACGGGCAAAAAATTAAAAAACAAAAATAATCAGCGGCAAAAAAAAGTCAACGCCAAAAAAAGTCAACACCAAAAGTCAACATTCAACGCCGAAAGTCAATGATCAAAGATCAAATGTCAAAATAATGCTTAAATAATTAAAACAATAAAAATAAAGAATTATTATGTAAATAAAGTGTTAAATCTTAGCCACACATGTTGATACCCATCTAGTCGCTAAAAATGTGTCTCACATCCTCATTTTAAGAATGTGTTCTCGTTTGATCCAATCCCTATATATATAATGATAGCCTAGCTTATTTAATTTCAGTATATATACAATATAGACGTCATTGTTTCAGACCCCTTAAAGATTAAAAATGCTCCCTACACAACAAAATCCACAGTATCGTCTTCGTCATGGTCTCATGGATAACAAGATGCTTCGCCTCTCCAGTAAAATGGTCCAAAACCCTCCTAATATTCTTGCTAAACTAACTCATCTCTCGTCCAAAACCTCAACGGCCTCGCAGCACACGAAGGCACCATTCATATAATTTGACACACTGCCGGCTCCATGACGATTCATGTCATTCCTAACCCACAATCAAAATTCTTTTCAACTGTATACCAATCCGGGTAACTAATCGCATCAAGCCATCCATCTTGCTTCACAAGCCTTATTTCATCATCTTCTGAGGCAGGACAAGATCAAAGGAAGAAAATTGCTGACCAACAAACTGAAACAAGAGTATTAGGTTATCCGTCACATATGAATAATAAAACACCCAATTCCCATAAGCTGGAATGAGATCAGTGTAGAATAACAGTAATTATTGTTAGATTGTTATTGAGTACTTCCACCAAAGAATCAGATTTTAGCAAATCCTTCAAGTGCAAGTTCGGGTATATTTTCCTTTTCCATCGAACATCTTCTAATTCCGACATAATTTCATCCTATAAACTCTTCACGAATGTGCTCTGCATGACCACCAGAAGGACCCTACACCCAACTGTATCCTGGAACTTTTTTCAAACCCTTAACTTTCATGTAATCCCTCACCTTATCCACGCCATCACAATCTCCACCCAAAGAGGATGTTACATTTGCAACAAGCACGTAGTTAGCCCCAATATTGGGCTCCAGCTCCAACAACAATTTCAATATGCGTTTATCTGCATAAAGAACACAACCATGCTGCTTGCAAGCACTTAGGTAGCTTCTCAAGACAACTGAGTTAGGCTTCATTGACATGCTCGAAATAATCTGATAAGCATCCTCAATTTTCCCAGCCCGCCCGAGCAAGTCAACCATGCACCCATAGTGCTCCATGGTGGGCATAATCCTGTAAACATTCACCATTTTCTTGAAAAGCTCACGCCCTTGGCGTAAAAGACCATTATGGCTGCAAGCAGAAAGTATTGCCGAAAAGGAAACATTATCGGGACACAAGCCGGTTGTTTCCATTTTGTTGAAGAGAGATAAAGCTTCTTCCCCACAACCATGGTCAGCGAGACATGAAATCATTACCGTCCAAGACTGCAGATTTTTCTCATTCATGGAAGTGAATATGCGGAGGGCTTCCTCCAGGTGGCCGGATTTTGCATACATATTCAGAAGGGCTGTTCCCAAGGGAATGTGTAAGTTGATTCCATTGATGAGAATGTGTGAGTGAACGGATTTCCCAAGCCTGATGTCAAGTAGATTGGTACAGGCTGATAGCAAACTTACGAGTGTTACCAAGTTTGGCGTCTCGTTTGCCGATACCATGTCTTTGAACACTCTCAGGGCATCCAAATGACGCTTACTGCAAAAATTAAAAGGTGAATTAGCCAGCATGTTGACGTGAAAATTTAACTATTAATACATGGTGTAAACGAAAAAGAACGGAAGAGAAATCTACAGAACCTTAGAATTACTACAGTTTTATTAAAATTTAGCAGCATCATAGTGGAAGAGTTACAAAGTTTATCTAATGAAATATGCTACTTGCGACACATTACTTGCAAATTGTAGATTTGAATTTATGTATCGCCAGTAAAAAACAATATTATTAGGTTGTATTTCCTTCAGATAATGCAACTTGATTAACTGAACCGTCAATCTTCAAACATTACATTCTTCATTCTTTTTCTACGTCAAAGGAGACAATCCAGACCATAGCTACCAAAATATCTGAGTATCAAACAAGCAAGAATATTACTTCTAAACTACCATCATCAAATATGACAGTGAATAAAATGAATTATTTACAGTAGTACTGATATGCATTTCCCAAAAAAAAAAGAAAAAGAAAAAAGCAACGGCAAAAAAATTCCGTACCAGTCAACATAAGCTGCGACCATAGAACTCCAGGACACCACGTCTTTCTCAGACATTTCATCAAACACCCTTCTCGCGAGGTCGGCCGCACCACACCCTCCGTACATGGTTACAAGAGTATGATTCACGTGCGAGTCCGACCCGAAACCCGTCCTCAACGCCATGGCATGCACCGACCCGCCAGCCCCGAGCATCAAGCAACGTCCGCAGGCCTTGATAACGAAGGGATAAGTGAAATTATCTGGCCTAACGTCGCCGGGGGCCCGAAGTAAGCCAGAAAATAGTCGGAACGCCTCTGATGGCGACGAGGAGCTCTTGGAATAGGCTCGGATGAGCGTGTTCCACGCGAAGAGCGGCGGAGGGTTGATCGGCGAGCTGTCAAAGAGCCACCGCGCGTGGGGAAGGGAGACTGAGGCGGCGGAGAGGAGGAGGTGGGAGAAGAAGTATTCGTGGCGGTCGAGGGCGGTTTTGAGGAGCAAGCAATGGAGGCGATGGAGGATTGGAAGGGAAGTTTTGGAAAGGTGGAAGAGGATTTCGATCTGGCGGGAGATCATTTGTTGATGTGTGCACGTCGTTGAATTTTTCTTCCTGTTAATACAACTAAATAGCCAAATAAATTTACAAAACACAAATTTTAACCATGTTTTATAAAAAATATCTTTTTTAGCCATTTTATCATGTGATAATACTAAAATACCCTTTAACTCTATTTACCTCTAAACTATTTTTCTCTCCCCCAATTCAATTCACTTTCATTTTTTTCAGATCTGAAAAAACCGAGACACGGTCCGAAAAAGTTGAATTCAATTCCATCTTAAAAAATTCATGTTCACGACAAGGCAACACCGTACCCCCTCCACTCTTCACAACCGAACCCCCACGTCCGAACACCGTCCCACCTGCTCACAGAAGCACCTCCCTGGGTTCGTGGAGAAGGCCGTCGAGTTCAAGGCCAAGGTAATCGACGCCATCGCGTGTGCTTCCGTGAACAACGCCTTTGTCATGAAGGTCATGAAGGCATGGAAGGCGGATCTGAAGATCGGGGACGAGGTGCTTTTGTTGAGCGACGACAATGGACGATTCACTCGGGCGATTGGTTGCCAGCTCGATTTAAGCAACAAGCCGGCGGGCTTGTGGGTTCGATCGAAGAGGTCCTGAATCTGGAGCAAGGAGGGGATTTCAGTGTTAGCAACGCCGAGGATCTGCTCAAGGCGATCTGATATTGTTAGGTCTGTCTCTCTTTATTTAATATTAAACTATAGAATGATTGGAGAAGAAGAAAATGCATAATTTGGACTACTAATTGAGTGGTTGATGTTTGATATTTGGAGTTCGTGTTGTGCTCTTATGTTGTGTTGTAAAACTGAAATTTTATGTTGGGGATGATAAAGTTATGTACTAAAAAAAATCACCATACTACTCCATTTCTCTCTTCTCAAGGCGAGGTTGAAGCCCTGTCTTGTGGCGATGTCGGTAAGGATCAAGAAGCCGAAGTGGGCCGTAAACATCGCCGCATGTTGGTGGAGTCGGGCAAGGGTTTGAAGGGGATCCAGGCGGGGTAGAAGGCGCGGCCGGTAGCTCGATGTGGCCGCTGTTGGTAAGGATTACGTTGGAGGGGCTGGCTGCGCTATTAAGTCGATTTTGATCTTCTTCAGTTGCTAATTTTTCATTTTCTTCTTAAATTAGTTCATTTTTTTTTTTTTTTTTTTTTTTTTTTTT